TCCTGAAGCGAAAATTTTCATTTAGAGGGAGAGAAATGCATCCCAAACATCCTTGCATCGTTATTCAGTGCTGAAGTTAGCCTGATTTTCTCTTGCTTGGAGTCCACGAGTCATAGTTAGGCGCCCGATAATTATTGAGGCTAGTATTCTATATGCTATATTAGTCAAACTAATACCTCAATGGTTATTACAGGATGATTTCGACTCCTTATATATTGAGACAATCAGAGACTGTGACCAGTCAGATGGGATTAAGTCCAACTTCCAGATTTTATTTAAAATATTAATCAACCTAATTGTCAAATTGGACCACCATACATCTGGAACAGCTGTTCCTCCTAGTTTCAGATTAGCTATAGCCTTTTGAACTTCAACTAGAGTCAGAAGACCTACTTCAACGTTCCATTCAGATTGTTTGGGAGTGGTGGGTAGTTGTAGAGTAGCTGAAGGCCAAGTAAACTGTTCTCTAAAGTGTTACGCCTATCGTTCTAAACGTCTGAGTTGAGAGCCGATCAGAGTTTCGTCTTTTTCCGAGATCGTTTCACTTACACTTGACTTCTTAATTCCGGTTTCTTTTATAAGTCTGAAGAGTTGTATGGTGTTACCTACAACCTCTGCCTTTTCTATCTCTTTTACTTTCGTTGTCAACCACTGTTCATGATCGTTTCGTAGACTTTTGGTTAGCCTACAACTAATTTATTTTCGCTCATCATCGTGTTCCGTATCTGATAGGATAAGCTTACGAGAGTCTATCAGTGCATTAGATGTCACAGAAATCTGATAGTTATTCATAATCCCTTTGGTTGAAAATGTTTTGCCACTGAAACTATTCACTGATATATTTGACCAGTTCTTTTCTTTTTAATTTATATTTCATATTTAGATTGTTTTAATACTATTGTATATTTTATAAGTTTATATCAGAATATTCAACTGAAAGGTCAATTTTGAAGTATCATAAACCACCAAGTAAATGTTCAACGACTATGTTCAACCCATGAGAAAAAGAAACTTTCAATAAATATCAGGTTAACACCTACTTACTTACTTACCTGCTTACTTACCTACCTACTTACTTACTTTACTTACTTACTTACTTACTTACGCCTGTTACTCCCAATGGAGCATAGGCCGCCGACCAGCATTCTCCAACCCATATACTTAACTAACATCTTTTCTAATTGCTACTTCTTCATAATCAATATGGATCGATTGGATATATAAATTAGTTTCTTTAACTTGAAACATTTTATGCTGATGAAAGTTTCTGACTCAAAATGTCCATTTGATTTTTTGTATTTACTAAGATCTTCAGAGACAAAATCATTTTATTATGTAATCTTGTTAAAGGAATCCTTTTGGGTGGCCTATGCTCCTCCATTATGAGAAACAGAAGTAAGTAAGTAAATATGTTTGGGATCTAATCATTGTAAACAGTATTTATGGATTAGTTCTTTTTTTTTATTAAAAGCCAATACACCGATTTATATTCTCCTTTTTGAGTGTCAACTTTAGGAAGACTACTAGTGGACTAACCTTCTCCAGGACTAAGATGTTTAAAACAAAAAATTAGTTATATTTTTCCAGCCATGAACGTTGACCGAATTACATCAAACAAACTGACATATCGTCACAACTCTAAGTGAATTAACCACAATGTGAAAAGTGAAATTATCTCTCTCATCAAAATAAATTTGTGCAAATAAATTGGGTTATTCATAAGAAACTACACAAATAGATCATATGAAAAGCACAGTAATGAGGCGTGCTTTGGACAAAACAAGAACATAAATCTATCTATGTAGGACCATTCCAGTATAAGGCTCCTCAACAGTGTGCATCTGCGATCCTACACGTGGGATTCAAAATCCAGAATCTGACGCGAACGCTAAATCTCTAGACCACTGCTGAGACGGCATCCAACAGTGTTAATGTCTAACATCAACAAATCCATGATACTAACCGACCATATTTGATTGTCTTCGGTGGGTAACTGCCTCACATCCAACATGTTTGAACTCCACTGGTCACGACTTTTCACTAGAACTCAGAGAATTTCCTCTCGAAGCTAGTCACCAGTGAGCATTATTGAGTTTTAATTGAGATCATAAACCGACCAATGTTAGACAACCATTTAAAATCTGAAAGCACTGGAGATCAAGAGTGCGTGAGAGATCGAAGATCTTGAGTTTCGAATTCCACATGTGGGATCGTGGATGTGAACTGTCGAGGAGTCTCATACTAGGATGAAGCAGATGTCCAGTGCTTTCAGGTTTTCAGTGGTTCATCATCTCATTTATATAATATGCAGAATGTACGTTAGTTTTAAAAAAAATTAACCTTATTGTTTCTCTGTTGTAAACAGTTCAAGAAAATCCACAAAACTAATGAATTCACATTTGTCATTTTCACTATTCTTGTATTCATAATGTCAGTCATCATATCTCTCATGATTACAATGTCTACAAGCTTGAAAGACTGTATTTTATATATCCTATTCGTTTCATTGGTTCTTACCTACATCAAAAGCCTCAACTTTGATATCAGATAGATTATATCCATTTACTTCTACTAATATGATTAATCAGAATTTTTATTTATTTCCAAACATCTTATGTTTAAAGACATCGTGGTTGCGTACTGCTGAGGAGTCCCACAATAGGACGAAACGGCCATCCAGTGCTTTCAGGCTTATCATAGTAGTCTAGCTTTAATTAACTCATGAATTCAACTATTAGATGTATCTAAGTTGAATAAATAATGATCTCTTCTAAAAGGTATTCAGTATTATGTATTACTATCAAACGATCTTAACGGATAGTTTGATACTGTATGGTAATCCGATTGCGTTTAATCTCAAACATTAAAACTGAATGAATTTCTACTAAATATTTCATTTGAAATGAATTGATTCGAAATAGAAATTTATTTTACAGACTGATTAGTTACAGAAACAACTCCCTTTATTGAAAAGGTGCTGATTTCCGGTAGCAATTCGTTCCGTTCTACTTTATGGCAGTGAAACATGGCCGATAAGAGTAGAAGATATTCGTAGGCTACTAGTATTCGATCATAGGTGTCCTCGAAGCATTGCTCGTATATCCTGGGACCACCGGGTAAGTAATGCAGTTGTTAGGAAACGTGTACTAGTTAAGGATGGCAAATCGATTGATGAAGTAGTGAAACTTCACTAGTTGAGAACTTTGTACGTACGTACGAAACTCTACGTTGTGACTGACTGACTGATTTCCGGCTGATAATTTCCCACTATTTGATATATTACATTAAACTAGTCAGTTTTTTTAACGTTGTTTACATTTTTGACCCAAATGGACACAGATACTAATTGATCAAACTATCAAAATTATCAGTGAAATAAATTGAAGTGAACAATAAATAGTTTTAACAAAGTTCGTGTTAAATAACTCTACTTGGAGTCCTCCCAAAGCTACTGTTTGTTTCGACTCCGGATAAAGGGGGATTAGGTGTGTGGTTAGCAACCCTATCGAAGACACTTATATTGTTTTTTTGTATATGTTGGTAAGGGGTCCAGTTTATCAGTTTCTTTTCGTAAATATCTATCCTAATTGGATTACCTTCATAGTTTTAGGTAAGCAGAGACTGACCAGTTTCATTCCGAAACACATCGATGGGAAGACCCAAACAAACAATACCAAGTGAATTCAAACTTCACCCCATCGCAGAAGCAAGTGACTATCAGGACTCAGTGGCCGAGTGGATAACGCGATGGCGTTTGAAGCGAGGGTACTGGGTTCGAGTCCCAGAGTGAACATCAACTCTGAGATGCAGGTACATCCAGCTGACGAGTCCCAAATAGGACGAAACGCGCGTCCTGGATTCCACTGCTAGCCACTATCCATCTCTGCTTACCATGCTTGTGAATTAAGGTATATCGAGGCAATACGCACAGTATGCACATACGCCAATTAGAGACTGACCAGTTGCAGTCCGAAACACATCGATGGGAAGATCCAAACAAACAATACCAAGTGAATTCAAACTTCATCGTTTTAGTTAAATGGAGTTAATAACTGCCAATGGGATCCAGCACATGTGTTTTATTCTACTTCAAAGCTCATTAGTTGAATATACCTGAATCCCAATAATGTCTTCAACCATTAATTCTTATAATATTATTACATTCAATTCACAACCTTAATAAACCATAGTAAAGTAACATTGTTAGATGAAATGAATTCATTTCATTTGAAAGTACGTTTACCTTTTTAAATACCTACTGATGATTTGCATAAATAAATCAAATATTTTACAAATATGATTTTATATGTGTAATATACATTAAGTTATTTAGCTCACCAGTGAAGAAGAAGAAGAGTAATAGTTAATTCCTTTATATTCATGTAAGTTCAGTGGATAAAACAATATGAAACTCAGTAAGTAAGAAACTATGACGTAATAAAGAATCTGAAACATGTGTACAGTTACGGCAGAAGGTATGGTATGGTTGACAATTATCATTATTATCAGAAGAGGGTTTTGTGGAGATTTTAGTAATCATGAATCAATTGAAACTAGATCACCATGAAAAACCGAAAAGCATTGGACGGCCGTTTCGTTCCATTGTGGGACTACTTAGCAGTTCTCATCCACGATCCCGCCTCAGGAGATTCAAACTCAAGACCTACCAGTCTTGCGCCAGAGCACTTAACCACTAGAACCACTGATCCGGCCGCCATTCAACGGTGTTAATGTCTAACTTCAATCAATCCACGAAATTGAACAACCATTCACCAATGTCGTCGAATCTCATGATGCACACTCCTGAGGAGTCCCATACTGGGACAAAACTGTCGTTCAGTGCTTCCAGGTTTCCCATGGTGATGTAGCTTCAATTGACTCATGATTTCAACTATATAAAACATCAGTGTAGTACTCATAAACTTGATGTCAATATTAACATTAAAAACATTTCATTCAATAATCAATAACTGATAAGCATAGAAATATAGCCTACTTACTGTATCCAGTAATCAGGTCGTACAGCATCTGGTTCTAATTTCTCTTCAAATCTATGTAATGATTCTAATTTTGATTTACTTTCCATAACAGGACCTAAACAACATCTTTGTATATCTAAACCTAATGCTATACCCCAATCATCTAATTCTTTTTCAACAATCGGACCACACATACCATGGGGTAAATGTAATTCACCTCTTCTTAAATAATTTAATATAAAACGAAATACTTCTGGATCTCTTTCAAAATAATATTCTTTTGTTTTATCAATCCATATAGCATCTTCTAACATTTTACCATATACAAATGGATCATGTTTTAATGTACTATGCCTGACATGAAATATGGTACCGCTCACGTTTAATCTTACAATGACCGGAGCTTTTGTAGTTCCTGTATATGTCTTAGATAAATGATCATTTTCCATAAATTGAGGTGATCTCATATGAGATTTATGGGCATTTAATTCTGGTTGAATAGATTGGTGTTCATGATTGGATAATAATTCAGTAGATTGTATAATATCTGTATATAATTCATAATCATCATTCATGGAAACATCAGCTATCGATGAATTACAACCAGTAGGACAACCAACATTGAATCGTCCAAGATGATTTATATTTGGTTTATGATTAACTAGTTGATTTGTTTGTTCAGATTTTGAATGATTTAATAATTTCGATTGTAAATTTGTAACGAATGTTGAGACTGGTTTCCAAACATGATATGATGATTTATCACAAGGGAAAGATCTTTTCAATGGTGATAAACGAGAATTATAGAATGAATTATATATACAGGAATTGGATCGTTTCATTATATCAAATTCATTATGATTATTATTTGTATGGTTTATATCTTCTATTATATGATTACATTTGTTTAAATGGTTCGGTTGAATACCTTCAATTGATTTAGATAGATCCTCTTTATTTGTACAATGATTATCTTGCATATTTATTTCATTGATTTTTTGTTTATAATAAGTAGTTATATAAGTAGTATGATAAGAGTATGATTCATTTGAAGGAATTACATGAACTGTTTGATGAAATTAATAAGTAGTAGTAGTATATTGTTGTATAAACGAAATATTGATACCATGAATACTTGTCAGTGGGTCTATACTCCATTGGGGGGGGGGTAACAGGCGTAACTTAGTAACTAAGTAAGTAAGTAACCCTCATCAAATAAATGAGGAATAATAAAAGAATAAACGAAATAGAAAATGGTATCACAATTGATTTATAAGATAACAAAATAGTGTAAAAAAGAATTTATTAGTTTATATATCTATGTACGTGTGTGTGTGTCTTATATGTGAACTAACAGTTAATTGGTTTAAGTAAATCATTTAAAAGTTGAAAAATATGCACACAAACACACACACACATGCACACATGCACACATACACTTAGAGATTCTTACACTCAGGTTATATTCAGGAATATTATTGGTAAGATTGTTCTTCAAAAAAAAATTGTGCAATGAACATGAGTAACCAACAATCCATAGGAACAAGAATATTTAAAAAAAAGGTTGTCTTTATAAACTATTGGACATTCCATAATTTTGGAAATGTACTTTTTGGTTGAATGTGTATTACCTGGTTAATTTCAAAAATTTAAAGTATTAATAGTTGAGAATATGTGAAATCAGGTTAGTCTATCAGTACTGAGTCTATATCCAATACATTGTCGAGCATATGTAAGATGAATTTATGAAGAAGACACATAATCCATTACAGACACCACTGAAAAGGATCGAGACATTACTATTTGTGAACCTCTTAGTGTTTCTTCTCATTGGTATTCTGCAGCTAAAAGAGCAGCCGAAAGAGTACTCAGTCTAAGAAGTAAACCCTGTTCAGTGCACCTTAGAGTTTTAAATTTGCAACCAAAGTAATCATTTGCAGTGCACCTTTACCAGCCAATTGATATATATTGAGTACTAAAAAAAGACATTCTTCTTTAATCTGCCAACATTCCTCTAGACTGATGGGCTCCTTTACAACGATTTTTTCAATATACATTTTACCCCCGGGCGGTAGATCACTCACTGCTTGCAACCCATATCAGATACCAAATGTTACGGGACAGTTATTTTGACAACTGACACAAATAATTAGCTGCTTTCTCTGCGTTTCTTAACGCATGTCTTACGAATAAGGAGTACTAGCTCAATGTGATCTGGGTTTCCCAAACATTTTTTTCTCTACACTCAATAAAAGGAATTCTGAAAAACCCAAATCTTGAGGACGTATGCTATGGTAATAAAGTGTGGACGTTCATGAAACACTTAGATCTTGTTAAGGATGCTAGATTGCTAGAAATCACTTAATAAACGTTTCATCTCAGTAATTCTATTTTGGAAACTTGATCTCATTTTCGTGCCAAAAGCGCCTATTATTACGTTCAATTTGTATTTTTCACTTGATAGAACCTTAAATGCTGTTGGTTCGTTCTTTCTTTTAGTATTCCATATGAGATGTCTCCTAGAGACAGTTTTGTTGTTGTTTGTGTTGTTTGCTTGTTGTTGTTCGTGCTTCCGAGTGCTTTTGGAATATACATTTACCTCAGCTAAATCTGGTCTTCTAGTTAACAGGGATGAAGCGTAGTAGAATATTTTAGCTTGTCCTGTTGTTGTTGCTGACTTCTTTTCGTTCGCTGGTTTTAAGTGATATTATAATATGTTCAAACGGAGCAGTAACGATGAGGCTTTTGCAAAAATGGATCCTTCAAAAGTGAAATTATTTCTGGAGCTGCGGCTGAGACTTATCCAGATGTTAGCCGGTACGAAAATCACGCCTGTCACACAAGCAAGCACGTTTAGTTCTACTACCACACCGTCAACTGACGGCATCACAAACACCATTGCCGAATTTCATTACGATCCTGATGCGGATGTCACTTTTGTCATGTGGTCCTGGCGCTATGAACTTGATTTTGCCAACCATAATGATGCTTGAAAGGTTCGGTTGCTACTTCGGGAGCTAGACAGCTATCGTAATTTGATTTCACATCCGAACCAACGTGATCGCACATTTTTGGACACATCCAGTCATTGAGCCAAGAGTTCGGAGATAACTCCTCATTGTCCAACACATGTTATCGATGTGTTGAGACGGGTTATGGACGAAGACGCTGGTTTCCTTACGCATGTGGACATCTTCAACTGCGAATGCGAATGCTTCCGGTTAATGTCACCAACTGAGGATCTGTTTACAGTCCTCATCCTCATCTGTAGTCCCCAATCACAAAGGTCCAGTGACATTGGAACACGGTTACTGCGTCGATTAAACTAAGGCCCAATACAGACTCTTACTGATATTTCAAATGAATATCAACATTTCAGTGTTTCGTTGTGGTGGTTTTGATCGCTCGGAAGTTCATGTAGTCCAAAACTATCCAACTCAGCCGACTCCGCTCCTGTTATTGTCGATCCATCTCATCTGAGCTCAGTACAACGGACGAAGACTAATCTCCCTGCCTCCTAATGATACTGTGGCGCATGGCATTATGTACAAACCTGTCCGTCTAAACAACATCGTTGCCGAAAATGTAAATTCGTTGATCGAAAAGATGGATTTTGTCAAAATAAAAAACCAAATCAATCCAGAACTAAAGAGCCTGTTTTCAGATCTCCACGAATCCGCTGGGCCTATAAGCGTTCTAACTCCACCTGTAGACCTCCTACAGTTGCCGCCGGTACCAAGCCCATACAAAGGAAGAGGGTTGGTCATTTGGTGGGCAACCCCATACTGTAGACAAAAACATTGATAGAAAAACGCCAACCACATTAAACAAATTAAACCATTTAAACTCTTTCCTGGCACTTGAAGGAAGAATTATGATACCTTAGGATGAAAGCTGAGATTCTTCGAAGGTCATGTGAGTTGATACATATTCTAACAACCAGAGTAACAATTTTTATAGGTACAAGGAACCTCTGGACAATGTGGGAGACCGGGAATACCAGCCAAATAGCTGAGGAAATAAGGAGATACAACTTGGCGCTTCTCGGAATTAAAGAAACCCATTGGACACAAGCTGGACAGCAAAGGCTAGATACCGGAGAAATGCTGCTGTACTACAAACACGAATAGGAGAATGTTTCACACACTCGGTGAGTTATTCTGATGTTATCCAAAGAAGTATGTAATGCACTTATAGAATGGTGATCTCACTGATCCAAGATTATCAAAGCACCTTTTTAAAAAAAGCATAGAATCACTTAATAGCAAAGCTCTGAAAGAGGTCGAATCTTTTACGTACCTGGACAGCATCATTGATGAAAAGGAGGATCCAATGCACACGTAAAGGAGAGGATTGGTAAAGCAAAGGTCGCATTCCTGCAGTTGAACAACATATGGAACTCAAAATAACTGTTGACTAATACCAAAGTTACAATCTTTATTAAGCAACGAAGCTGATGACGGAGCTTTTAAGCATTTTTCCAGTATGTTTTGGGCTGCTGCTCTGCTACGAAAGCAACCCTTCAGTTGAAGCCAGGGCTTAAACCTATTTTCCTTCCAAAGAGACCAGTGTCATGTGCTGCATTACCAGTTGATGAACAGCTTGGTCGCCTCCAACTCCAAGGAGTTATGATGCGTATTTTTTTGTTCTGCTTGGATAGCACCTAATGCAGTTAATAAAAAGGTAAATAACACAAAATGAATGTGCTCAGATTTCTCTATAGGCCTCAATGCAACCCTAGAACAACATCACTACTCGCTGCCAGTTCCCACAGATTTTTCCACCATGCCAGATAGTAAGAAGTTCTTCGAAAAGCTAGACCTTGATGATGGCTGCGGAATCGACAGAGCTACTTGCCACTATGCCCATCGTGGTTTACTTCAATATGATCGTCTACCATTTGGAGTTAAGACCGACCCATTTATTTTTCCAGAAATTGGTGGATGTCATTTTATCGGATATCCTGGGGTCGCGACTTATCACAACGATCTCTTAATTGCCGCCAAGTCTTTAGAACGGTTACAGGAACGCAATAAGGCCGTTGCATCAATGACAATGGGTTCTGGTTACGTCCAGAGAAGTGCCGGTTCTTATCATAGTCAGTAAAATACTTTGGCTACATCCTTGATACTGTGGGCTGCAGACCCGACACTGAAAACATCCGAACTATTAAATTGGTACCTAATACTACCAATTTTTCTGCTCTCCGGTCACTTTTGAGATTAGCTGGCTACTTTTTAATTTTTGTTCTAACCGTGCATGACATCCGCTCCTCATCGAATTGTATTATGAGAAGGAACACCACCTGGAATTGGACTAAGGAATGTGAAGCTGCTTTATGTAAGCCAAAGACGATCATTAGGTAGGATTTATTATCAGCGCATTACGATCTTTTCATATCAATCATCGTAGCTGCGGATGCCATCATCTCACATCAATTTCCGAGGGAAACAGAAAAAATTATCATGCACGCATCCCGCATATTAAATTGGACGGAAAAGAAGTACAGTCACATAGAGGGAGAGGTACTTGCCCTTGTCTTTGCTGTTTGTTGTTTACACGATTTCTTGTACGGTCGAGGATTCATTCTTCCAACAGATCACAAGCTCCTTCCAACAATTTTCTGCTAGAAATCCAGCATTTGAATCCATTCTGCAAACCGTCTCTAGTGTTGGACTTTGGTACTTTTGAGTTATGACTTCGATATTCAAAAACGATGCAACCAAAATTTTGGCCAGGCAGACGCCTTGTTACGACTTATCAGTAAACATGCTACGGCAGAGTAAGATATGCTTATGGCCTCGCTGTCGACAGAAGACCATGAAGACTGTTACCTGACAACTGACGCTCGTGCTTTCCGCTGTCAACGTCCGGGATACTAGCTGCTTCTAGGAACCATCCAACCATTATTAAAAACCACGAACTGCGTCACCAACAACTGATCGTCCACTGGTTTTTACCGGTGATATGAAGTAGCTTCTCTATCGTCAGGATTCATTGTGCGTCGTGGACGAATGGTTGACGTTCGGAGAATGGTGGTACCATAAATCATACTATCAAAGGCGATGAAGCAGTTTCATATTGGTCATCCTGGCGTGAAACGAGCGAAGTCCATAGATGGAAGTTATGCTGATTGGCATCTTATGGACCGGGACATTATAGAGTTAGTAGGCAAATGCACACAGTGTCAGCAAGCGGCGAAGTTTAACCGTAAAGTCCCATGTGTCTCATGGCCACAGACTAAATATCCGTGGTCCAGGATACATGTCGACTTTGCTGGT